GCAAGCTCACCTCGCCAGCAGGAAGTCAACGGCCTCGAGGGCGCTCGCCTCGACGGCGACGTGCAGTGGGGTGTTGCCGACCTTGTCCTGGATGTTGAGGTCTGCACCAGAGAAAAAAAAGGAGGATAACAATCAATCAACACACGCGCGCTTGGGGGACACTATTGGGTGTTGAAGAGGGGTCCTCGCGTCGCGAGTAAATAGGGTGATAAAGCAGCATAAAGCGGCCATAAAACGTCGGTCCGGCCCGGCTCGGGGCACGCGCCGGGACACCACTAGGGCCCCGCAGCGAGTGCAGGCATCGGATGCCACCATCACCGCAGAAGTGAGAGGCAGAGTGCCACAAAAAAGCTAATTTTAGGCCCACCGCTCGCCTTTTGCGTTCGGTCATGACCGATCCAGCGTCCTCATCAGGAGGCCACGAAAGGTGAGCAGAGGTCCTAAATTCTCTCTTTCTGTGGCGCTCTGGTGAGAAATCTCACTTAGGGCCACATCACTGGTGAAAAGTGAAAAGAGCGTAAGTCCAATGCACAGTCCGTGGACTTACGCCCTTTTCACTTTTGACCAATGACATATTCCCCGTCACTCCCATTCGCGTTCGATGCCCGCTCGCTGCTGCAGGGCCCGGCCCGGCCCGGCCCGGACGCCTGCGGGGCCGAGGATAGGCAGCCCGATGCGCGCCGGTGCGCCGTGCGGCCTACTCGCCGGGCGGGCTCGCGCTGATCGCGCCGCCGGGACTCACCTCCGTTGTGCGCCACGATGAACTGCAGGATGTTGATGCGGTTGCGCGCGGCCGCCTGGTGCACGGCCGCCCGGCCCCGCGAGTCCCGCACCGTCAGGCGACGCGGGTCGGCCAGCAATAGCCGGGCGAAGTCCTCCAAGTTGCCGCTCTCGGCCGCCTGGAGACACAAGTTGGAGGACCGGCGAGGTAGGTGGGGGGCGAGTCGTCATGCAACGCGACCGGCGTCGGAACAAAGAGAAGGCTATTCACGGTCCAGAGGCCGGCATGGCCGGCCGCGTGAACAACGGATATAGTCCTGGCCTTTCATCTTCCGCGCCGGATCGGGGCGGTTATGTGCATGGCACGTGCACACCGACCCTTACACAAGAAGACTGTACCCCCCAAAAACGAACAATTGAACTTCATAAAAGGTTGTCACTCCAAGAGGGATCCAGCTTCATCCCGTCAAACCGTCGGCGTCTCCACTATACTCCTACGCTACAACGCACCCATATCCGCGTCCGCGTCCACCAACATACACAAGGCCCTAAAGTGGCTATGCTCTTTTCTATTGCATGCTGTCTCTGCCGGGCATGATTGGCTGCAATTAAGACGAGCCGAAAGCGGGCGCCTCAGACCGCTCAGCCGCTGGCATCTTCTTAACTCCCACTCTCTTGCTTTCTACTGCTCTCTCTCTCTCTCTCTCTCTCTCTCTCTCTCTCTCTCTCTCTCTCTCTCTCTTTCTTTCGCTCTAACTGCACGTCACCTGATTGTTATATTATACTCCCGTGGGACCAATCAACCAACCAACCAACCAATCAATCAATCAATCAATCAATCAATCAATCAATCAATCAATC